ATATGATCGAACGCATATAAGAACTACGTCAAAGGACTAGGAAACATCCGATTCATAATAATAAATTGGGTCACTGGTGTTTTAGACGCGTTGTCTGCTGTATAAAGTCTTATTAAGAGCTGTTTCCGTACAATGAGTCGGCGTGGAGTCATCACTTCCTATACTAGCTACTTGTTAATGGATTGCTCTGTTCCCAACAACATTGTGTGGTTAATGTCACTTTTGTTATTATAAATGGGATGGTTTGTTTGTGTCTCTTTTGATTGTGTGACTCGCGATTTAGGAAATGTATGTTGATAAGATTCACGCATATAACAATACGGTACTTGAATAACTTTCAGTAGAAATACTTTTATGTATGACAGATGCTGTTGAATAAAGAACGGGTCAATTCAAGAAAATGAACTTATAAAAAAAAATCTAATCATCATAACAAAAACAATTTGCCAACATACCAAAAAAAAACACTTGCTCGTAACATGTCACATTTTCAATCGCCCGGATTGCGAAGGGTGCGGGTTCGAGTCCCGTCTACTGCCTGGTCCGCGTGGATATTTTCTAGTTATATTTTCTTTAGATTTAAACATCAAGCAGTTACATGCTTTAAAATTATAATAAAAAAATGACACATTTTATTGTGTCATTTATTAAGCTACCAAATAACATTAGTACTAACACGATTACAATAAAAACACTGCAGTACAAAACTGTAGCGTCGTCCATTCATCTCATAACTATTAATTAGTGCTCCCCGATGCCAGTAATCAAGCATAAAATTAAAACTTGGCACACGCCAAGCGCCCAACAAAGGTAAGGGTGTGTCCACACCGCTCGTACCTTATGGCACGGCAATTTGTTCAAGACATCTGGCCGCGGAGCACACCTGCCCGCCCGTGCCCCATACCTCACAACTTCAAAACAAACAACAATCAAACTAATCCACCCGCCATAAAGCTGCAATTGGCTTAACGATATGGTTTATCAAACAGTTTTCGCAAAGGTCCGATGCCCCCGTCATCCAAAGCGCGACATAGCACTCATTATATTTCGGAAATGACGAACAGTTTTGTTATATTTTTTTTCTGTCGCACAATTGTTTCGAGCGCTCGACTGAGAAGCTAATATCAGTACCAGACATTACTGGCTTTTTGACAGCGCTTTATGATTCTGTTGCCACGTCATTTAGTTCAGCGGACGTCTTTCAATTAGATGCATGCTATATCTAGCCTACAAATGCGTTTGTGCGCAGTGACACCCCAGCCATCAATCTCAATAGCTCGCACGTTCATTCACACGGCGATGCGCGCGCCGCAAGACTGCGTGCGGCCAAGACTCGCGACCTTCTTGCGTCACTTCCGCCGAGACGTCACTCATCTTGCAAGTGGGCGTGTGCTCCTGCCCTAATGACACGATACATACCATATTTTGACAGTTCAAAGTCAACGAAGGGTTATATCGCCACATCGTTTATATCTCCCCCTGGAAGACGCGTAATTCGTTCTTTTATTGTACAATTGACACTTCCGATTTCTTGTGCGAAAAATGTGGTCACACAGCGGGGGGCGATGCGGGACACACGGTATAGCGGTAATTTGGGGCAAGTAGGCCAATTCCGGCGTCTATTGTGGCTGAAGGGGCTCTAAGAATCGCTCCTTCAATTCGGTAAACGCCCGCATGTCGCGGCAAATAAATATTAATGTGCTATTGTGAAGGTTTCTCTGTTTACCACGCTACCGACAGACGGCTCCGACGCTTTACAATATTTACTACAAAACGACATAGAAATTCCGGTACAACCCAGAAAGAACATAAACATTACTTCTTCATGATATCATCTCATCATCAGCTTAGGAATGTTCTCAGTGCCAGGCAGCCGCAATCAAAAAAGAAAAACGAAGACATCACTATAATAGGCTTAGCACAATCCGTACATACCTATTTGTTGGTTACTGTTACAGCTTCATCAATTCACAAAATACTAATTCAGCGTAGTGGAGGTGCCATTGCAACTAAGCCTTTTCTTATTAAATTTACCCTTATTAATATTAAGTTTTCATTTATAATAGAAGTTTAATAAGATTGCGTGTATTCTGACTGAATATGACAATGAATAGTAGAATAATATATTTGAATCATTACTTATAGAACATCAAATGATCAATAAGTATGTAAGAACGTGCCCAAATGATTTTGGCGAGGATTAACACATAAGAACTGTTTCTTCGACAGATGTCGTTTAGTATCGACATCTTGTCGATTTAAGTTTAAATCTGAGTAAGCTGTGTGAATAATCCATTATGATGCTCTGGCGAATTAATCATATTTCACTGATCTAATATATTTTTAATAGTTTTATCTGATTCACTCTTCACAAACTTATATCAAAATAGCCAATGCATTATATGCAAAAAAGTACAAAACATAATATATCTAAGTAAAAAAAATCGATTATAATGATTTTAGATCTAAAATCAATAACAAACCCAACGTACTAAAATTCAACGTGTTTTGGTTGGCAAATATTATTTTTGCTTTTCTTTATGCTGCGTCGTAATGTATAAAGGGCTGTCCATATTCACAAGAAAAGTTTTACATCAGCCGAATAAAAAATTCAGCTTGCTATAATAAATCAGTTATAGTACACTATAGGTTACTTGTGTGCGCACTCACAAATCGCTTCCTGTGCTAAGTGGGCATTGAGCGAAGGCCGACAATTAGGCACTTCGCCCTTAAAGAGGCAATAAAGCGATATGTGCGTAAGCGCAACACCTGGGCTATCGGAAACATCTTTACCGCTTAGCGTGGAGTTATAAATGATTTTTTTTTCTTATACATCATATTTTACAGAGTACTGGCCTGTTTAAACGAAGGAGTTTTGTCTGAGGAGGACAGAAGTCGCGTAATCGTGAAGAAAATGTCAGCCAAGGACTTTTCACGGATTCAACGCACACCATGTGCTATATATGTCACCCGAAAATTTAGAAAAGCGCACGCTATTGAAGTTAATTTTCTCAGATTATGTTGTGTTGTAATTAACATGCAGTATAAGAACAAGAGATGGACGTTTTAAAGGGGAATACTGGGTCCATTTCTTTGAATCGGATTGAGCGCGCAATGCGCTCTAAAGTTCACTGTGTGCGTTGCAGCGCCTAGCATGGAGTCCTATTAATTTCGGGGACTCGGATCGCAGTACAATAAATTTCGGGGACTCAGATCGGAGTCTTATTATTTTGACCGGAGTCTTATTAATGGGACTCCCGAGTACTTCTTATTTCAGCGGACAAAAAAGTCCGCGAACAAAAGTCCCTCGTCTGCGCAGGATATCATCGTCAGCCTATCAATGTCCCCACTGCTGGGGTACAGGCCTTCCCTATGGATAGAATATTGAGATTGGGCCATGACCCACCACGCGGGCCCAGTGCGGATTCGTAGGTGCTAACGACTGCAGATGCCGCCGGGACCAATGGCTTAACGTGCCGTACGAACTCGAGATAGAAGATTTTTGGTCACCCATCCAATGACCGACCACTGCAAAAGTTGCACCAGTGTGTTATAAACCCCGACAAACATTTTTAACATCAACCATAGACAAGAAAACCTGCGCAGTAGCAATTTTTCATACCTACAAAAACTTCAATTACACCCCGCTTATTAATAAATGAAGATTAAGCTTCAAGTTTTGTCTCTGGTCATTACATCGTCACATCTACGGCAAACTTACGAATCTGCTTTTTTAGTAAAAATCTATACTAAAAACTGCACATAATGGGGTACTTAACACCAGGGAAAAGTCACACAATTTTATCGATGACGGTTCCAAAAGTCTGATTGTTTGAATCTGCATTTTATGTTTATACGCCCAAAGTAAAATTACCAAATTAATATACGATATTTTGGCATAGTAGGTTTTATGAAATCCAAATTCGTAAGTTTACTATGGAAGTGACGACATGACATGACAAATGGCATTTTATACCTCGTTTATTAATAAGAGGACACTAGTTTATTGGTAAAACTACCTACCTATTAGTAAAAAAAAAGGAAAAAATATTTAACGATTCCGGGCAGCACCTTAGTCTCAATCGATAAGAATTAGTATCGACGTAGAGATCTATAGGGGCAGCCACGTGCGACCGCCCGGCGCGTGCGCGTGCGCGTGCTCTACGGATCGAATCTATGGGCTTTTCGCGGCTAATAATAAAATTATCGACGTTGCTACTAGAAAAAAATAAAACGGACCTATAGAGAAAATACCGAGCTATCTGATCTATGGATTTTCTGCGGCTAATAGTAAAATCATCGGTGTTGCTACTAGACAAAACAAAACGTTAACATTAGAAAAGGAATACTTCTTTATTATTATTTATTGGAACGTTTTCTCTATTTACTAAACTTTTGTTTTATTAAACTTTAGTTAGTTAAACTATCTAAAATTCATTAATTTATTTTCCTCGTGAAAAAGTTACAAACAAACAGATAAATTTACTAAATATATCATCATCACAATACATAACATATTAAACTGAATAAGCTTTTTTATTTGAATGCTCGCAATTTTCATTTTTTCTTATTTGCGAAGAAAAAAATATTTATAAAATAATATAATATAAATGTTCTTCCTATATTTTGATGACCGCAGTGGCTCGAGTGGTATGTACGCTGGTTTGCAAGGTGTCGCTTACTCAGAGGTCCCGGGTTCGAATCCCGATGGGTCAAATGTTAGTGTGATGAATACGATCATTTTTAACTAAGTCATGCATGTTTATGTGTATTTCTTAATATAAAATAATTAGGTTTATATATGTCAATATAATGAATTCTATCCGTTACCCTAGTAGACCATAGCACAAGCCTTACAGTGCTTACCTTGGAGCTATATTATTGGTGCGTGCGTGTGTATTTTTTTTAAATTTTCATTATAAAAAATATAAATATTTAATTTCTTTAACTGTAACTTGCTTCCTTAAAAGTAATTTTAACAAAATATTTCTTCTTTTCAGATCCGCGGGCGCCAAGGGCGTGGTTTTCATAGGATAAGTGTCGAAAATCATATTAATGGTGAGAATTTTATTGTTATCCTTTACATTGTCTTACTTACTAGCGACTTCTCACAACAAAAACAATGTGTAAATAGGTAATCTCTATTAAAACACAGAATTTTTTCTCAATTTGTTGAAAAATGAAACTTTTAAAACATCGCCATATTTTTTTATATAGCATTATATTTTTAATTTCTATTAAAAAAAAGGGAAATGTTTAACTAATTTCCTACTAAAAATTCCACGCCAACGCGACGAAAAAGGGTGCGGGTTCGAGTCCCGTTTGCTGCCTGGTCCGCGTGGAATTATTTATGGCATTTTTTTTTTAATTGTCTTCTATTATTAAAGCAGCACTTGCTTGATATAAATTGATCCACTTAATAATCTCACTTATAACTCAGTCAAGCCACTTGGCGTTTAGGGCCGCGATTAGTGGCTCAATATCCGCTTGTTCTAATCATAAATTCCGAAAAACTTTCATTTAGTTTGAATTTTCAGTTAGGTTGTAATCAACACCGTCTATTCGTCATAAAAATACAATTGTCAATATGTTACAAATAACAGTGACCTGACTGTCCTACACATTTTGGTCCTTCGAGCCGGATTCTTTCACCCGTTACGTTTCGTTTTCGTCGTTGTGCAAATTGATGGAGATACAAGTGTCGACAAACAGTACTAAAACCAATATGGGCTCTATCACCACTTAACATCAGTTGAGTTAGTCATTTGCCTACATGGCTATAAAAAATAAATAAAAAGGAATCCTTAAAATTAACTATCGTATTTAACTATATTTGTACATATTTGAATTATCTATAATAACACGGTCACGAAAAATGTTCAAGCAGGGATAAACTCTCCAGGAAAAGATTATTGATTGAAGCTGAGCTAACTATATGATTGAAGTCTACAGGCAGACCCACACTATCTTCGTTTCGATGCGAATAAAACCGTTCGAATCCCATACGGCCCGTATTTTGTCCACTCAGTGACAGCGAGACATCGCATGAATTTTGCATTAAGCAGACCTAGCACTAGCCAAACCTTTGTGCGAAAAGCCCGTTTTATCACTGAAACTTCACTATTTCAACCAAACAGTTAATTAAAATACATCTCGATCCTATAAATTATTCCTCCTAGAGAGACAGACAAATGAAGACAACAAAAGACTCTCGAAAAGCCCTAAAGTGTTCCCAAGATACAAAGGAGTGCAGCGGACAAGGCTCCACCGACCAGTTTCCTTTGCCTTTTTCATAAAGACATATTTAAGAAGTTTGAAAAGAAACTTTTTAAATAAAACGAATTCAATCTCGGAACGTTTGTTCTTTATTATTTGTTCAGCAAATAGGTATATATTGATTCTGTTTTGAATTAAAATGCTGGCTGATTAGGATTCTCGATTGGAACATGGAGCGGTATAGCGGTAAACGAAACATTAATCAAGAATGTTTTGAATATCGAATGCCAAAAGCGGAGATATCGTGTAACGATGCACATTCGAAGTTGTGTGTAGAGCCACAAAATATCAAACGTATAAATGAGGCACTCTTTATAAAGTCTAGTTAATAGTTTGCGATAATTTAAAAGGATGTTATAACTTTATTGTTATATACTTTTGCCGGTATTAATTTGCCTACATAGTCTCGTCGAATCTAAATATTAACAATTATAGATAGGAAATAAGGAAAGTTTAAATAAGAAGAGTCTCCCTGTCTTCTTTTTTAAGCTTACGCTGATAAGAGACGTAAGATAATGTCCGTATCTACTAAAATTAAATTAATGAGACTTAAACCTAAATTTGTGCTATGTAAAGAAAAGAAAAAAGAGATATCGCCAAAATCACGATCGGTGTTAACTTAAATTGTATATTACATTAAAATACTTTTTTTGGTTAAAGTAAACCTCTGACCGCAAACATCTAAACGACAGCTAGAGAAAGGTGCCTCAAAAAACGTTATTCCATTAGTTTACATTATGTATCCGCCTGTAGCCTGTTTGTAAATTTTTGAATCCTCCATCCATAAACAAATTCAGATAAATATAATAGTTAACGAAAAGTTTAACCAAAACTCAGTACCTACGTAATATTGGCGAGTGTGTGGCCCAACTTTCTGCCTCCGATAAGACTTGACGTGGCGTTATGAGTTCCCAATCGCCTTGTGTTGGGTGACGCCCCCGATGATCGTCTATTGTTCCACACAAACATTTGGCGCGAAACGATGTTTTGAAATGGTGTGTGGTTGTGTTGGAAAAAAAAGTTTGCCTCGATTTCTTTATGAAAAAAAAAGATTACCTTTTTTGTACATTGACATAATTAATATATGTAATAGTGAAAACGGAACTTCCAAATTATAGACACGAGCATTCAAATAAAATCCGTATACCTAGTGTACTACAGTATTTCTTTAAATAAACAGTTAAAATCAAAAAGGAATATCTCCCAGTAATATGTAATTCCTGTGCAGAAAATCATAAGACTAATCGATATAAGTAGGCACAGCTCATTCAGACGCTATAATTCCGTTAATAAAAATACAGTGAGAACGGCTCAAAGGGGGCACAGTGGGGTCGGAAGCGCAATGGGCTTTGGAAAATTCACCCGGTGAATGGGAAAACGCGGCCATAGACAAACAGCCAGGCTGACCCCACCGAACCCCCTAGCGTACATTTTGAAATAATGCCCCCTACGGCTGCGTAACCGGCAGCATACACTTCCATTTTCGAATTAAGTTGGCGCCCACCAATTCGAATTTCGAACAGTAGACGATGCTCTTTTTAAATTATCTATTTAATTAAACAAGAAACGTTCCGTTTTAGGCAATGACTCAAGTTATTGTGAATTTTGATTTATAGTTTTATTTCTATATGTTAAGACCCGACAAATGACCACCCTTCTCTTATGTTACGTGACGGTGGCGTCCAGATGCAAAGAGAGATGGTGCAGCAATTGTGACACAACTTCAAAATGAAGCGTTTACCATAACAACGCAACGTCAGACGCAAACGTATCTTACTAAAGTTAGCGCCAACGCACAGAGAGCGGTTATAAATCTCGTCGACACGAAATGGCTGACCAACTCCAACCCCCTTTCGCAGATCTGTTGCAATAGCTGAGCTGCTGCAAAAGTGTGCGCCATAAATTTTATACAAGCAGCACAGTGTGCGGTAAAACTGGACTAGGGCTTGTGTGTGTGAAAATTCGTGTCGCGTAGACGAGTGGACATTGCCAGTTTTGCTTTGTGTTCGCTATATATCTATCTATGTATACATAACTACCTACGTCCGAGCGGGTATACTAGATACATGTAACGGATTAATCTAAATAAATTGACAACGGAAACAAGTTTTATCGACGTGAGGTTAGTTAGCCGTCTTTTAATTACTCAAATAACTCCGATTCAGATCGTACAGCACGGCAATTGGAAAAGATTACTCGTGGAACAGGAATGTCCGATTGTTTAGAATTTGCTTCAAAAGAATTTTTTATGAGAGTATTTTTTTTTACTTTTCTCTTTAACAATTTTTTTCTTTTTTTCTCGATAAATCTCTACCGAAGAGTGGACTACGAAATCACTTTTACATCCTCGTCCATTTATGATTGCATAATTACCTATAGATAAAATATCTTTCAAAAATCGAATTCCTATTTCATTTTCATACTTATAATGCCGTGAAAGTTATCCAACAGACGCCGAAGTCGCCCCGAATCGATGCACATATTTCGCGTGGCCATTTTTTTCTTGTCTTTGAGGCCTTTCATGTGGCTTTCCGTTCGGCCGGTTCGGGTCCAGTGAGAGAAGTGTGAACCGGCCCGTGAGCGCCACTCAGGTGTTAACTGCTGGACGGGCTTCCCTGGCCACTTAGTCTGCTGTTGCCGCTAAAAATACGAGTCTTTTATTTTTATAAAGCCTACCTTTTTGGACACTGTATCTGTGCGCTTATGAGACATCAACTGAGATCGCGTTAGAGCCAAAACTCAAAGAAGGTATCTATTCCAATTTTGAATATCGGTGATTTCAAAAACACATTTTAAAAAAGGAAGTCGAAATTAAGAACGCAAAATTTTTAATCTGAATGATTCCCGCTTCAAAATTAACGCAGTCGTTACGTAACACAAATGGGAAGCGGGGGGATATTCGGAACGTCTCTCGCACCAGACGACTGTAATTGACTATCTAAAAAGTGGGAAACACGCACACAGCTATAGGTAGGTGCGGATACCTATGACGTTATCGGCCACGCACTTATACATGTTTACTTACTCATAAACGTAGCTAAAGTGGAGAGTATTGCACAAAAACGCATCTTCTCCCCACCTCCCCCCATCGCCGGCGGGCGAACGAATACATTCGACTAGCCCATTTGCAAAACATCATTGTGTGAGTAGCCGTCTACACAACTTTCAAAACTGTGTGCGTGCTGTTCCACACAAACGCAAGTTTGCTTAGCCCGTGCGTTTCACCATGTACCTACATGTATATACGGTATTGGTTTTCTGTAGTACCGTTGGGCTTCAACAAATTTCAAATTCACAAAATCGTCATTGGTCCAGTATTTTGTTTGAATAGGGACGCAGCGCCGTACGGGCTTTAAATTTGCTACCAGCTAATTCGTTTAGGTGTAAAATGATGAGTTTTATCCGATTTGTTTACACGGCGTTCATGCATTCCAGCACGATTGATATTTTGTTTGTTCCGTCGCGAGCATTAATCATTAGAATTATGTTGCCATCAACTAATACGTCAGCGTTATTCATCCGTGACACTTCAGGGTGAAAGCATAGAGCTGCAGCAAAAAACGTGTCAGTCAAATGTGACGCATTATCAATACAAATGAAGCAATTAAAGTATGCACGCGCCACTACCCAAAGAATACCGGATGACATGCGTCTAATAATCGTCTAAGATTCCAAATATCAATTTCTGGCCGAGCAGTCCGCTCGAGCGCATCGACTCAATTTGAATTCAGAACCCGGAAGTCCGCCACAAAAACCGAACCAATCAACCCCAGAGTTCGAAA